TTTACCGATTACCGATCATCGTCAAATTCAATACCAACCTTCTCTAAATAATACTCTATCGATTAAAAAAAAAAACAGCCCGATATCTCAATATTTGCGAAAGTTAGAGCAACTACGGACATTTCTAAAAAAATTTAAAATTTTTTTAAAAAAGAACCCCTTTACCGATCATCGTCAAATTCAATACCAAACTTCCTTGAATGATACTCTATCGATTAAAAAAAAAAAAAACAGCCCGACATCTCAATATTTGCGGAAGTTAGAGCAACCACAACATCAAATGTGCACATACACACACACACACACATACATACACACATACGGACATTTTTTTAAAGCAATATTTCAACGTTTTACAACAATCTGAACATATTGGCAGAAAAAACTCAAAAACCAATCTCTTCGTTGGTTTCTTCTACCCCTATTTCATATATATATTTTTTTAATTTGGTTGACTAGATCCAACTTTATACACAATCAAAGGTTCATATACGAAAATCACGAAAACAAAGCTTCCTCTATGAGGAAGCAATAAAAACAGTACAAGCTTAGTCAAAAGGTTTACACAGATAAGTAGAGTTTTCCGTATGTACATTATCGTATTGCAGTGTGACCATTGGCTGCGTTCAGCCGAACCTCTGCTTAGCGAAGCGAAAGGTAGCAACTGAATGTGATTGGTTCTTACCTTTGGATCCAACCAATTACACTTAATTGCTACCTTTCGCTTCGCTAAGCAGAGGTTCGGCTGAACGCAGCCATAGTGTGCCTTGTAAATGTATGTATGTACATGCTTGAACTTTCCACGCGTGGAAAGTTGTAAACCCATTTCGCATAAAAATGCGCCTTTTGTTTTGCGTAAAAAGTGTATGTGTGGGTGGAGGCAGTAGGTTCCGCCCCCCTGCGGGGGGCTCCACTACTATTAAATTATAGACACACATACTACGTTTACGCGTTATCACATTTATCACCGTATGTTAAAAATTATGCATAATAACTGGTAATTATGTATAATTATCGAATTTATCACTTTTACAGTAACATATATATCATATATAATCTAGAATCGATTTTAGTCGATAAATGCTATTATTTAAAAAAATTTTTTTTTATTTCTTGAAGTTGGGACTACGCAGAATTCATTTTTCACATCGAAAACAACTTATCTGTAAAGTTTTAAGTCGATCGGGAGCAGGGGTCATTCGGAACTACACCCGCGTAAACATAGAAATAGTCAGATCCAGTAGTGCGATTCTACTCGTTTTGAACACATAGGTGCTGATCTACAACCTTGCTGGGTATTTAAGCTCTAAGCTGTAAGAAATTGACCAATCACAGTCGAGTATTCTCCTCACATTCTACTGTGATTGGTCAATTTCCTACGGCTTAGAGCTTTGTAGATCAGCGCTATCGACAGCATAAAGGTAGGTTTTCATGGCAGTGAAATGCAGCAGCAGTGAGCAGCAGTAGTAATTTCCTAGAAATGTTTGACTCAGTTCCAGCGCAAATTTTTGCTGCTCGAAATTCAGGCTTCAGTATTGGCTGTATAGAACCAATTTCATGAGTAGCAAAAATTACCTTA